AGGGTCCCGAGACCGCCTCAGCGTACGTGCGAGGGGTCGGGATGTCGAAAGCGTCGGGGTCACCCTCAGGGACTAGAAGCATAGAGCAGAGATGGGGAGCAGCCTCGGACAGGAAAGCAAGCTCGTACTGGCAGTCCTCCAGGACGTCACTGCCGAGGGCAGGAGCACCCCCGACAGACGGAGGGCAGGCAGGGTCAGAGACCAGAGCGGTGGCGTAGTGAAGGCGGCGGGTAGAGGCAAAGTCAGCGACCGTAGCAACAAGGGCGTCAAGGCTCAAAACCATAACAGACGGGTTGGTAACGAGAGAGGCAAGGACCCGAGGAACAAGAGGACGAGCGGCACGCATGTAGTCAGATAGAGGGAGGGGAGCAACGACAAGGGAGGACGGAGGGGGCGACGGGAGAAGGGGAGGACGAGACACGTGGGAACGAAGCAACATAGGGTGAGAGTGCGAGACAGGGGAGACAGGTCGAGCGCGGGAGGGACGGCGAGACCAGACGTGAGACGGAGGAGTCGGGTCAGGGGACAAAGGAGGGGACACAAGAGGGGAACGAGGGGGGGAACGAGCCGGAGATGAGTCCGGAGGAGGGAACACAGGGCCGTAGACAGGAGGAGGAGGAGGCACAGGCACGAGGTCAGGGGACGGAAGGCCGAGCAGGCGAAGAGCGGACACCGGCGGGGACTGCTGCGCGGCGGTGTGACACCGACACCGGGACCGCAAGCTGCCTGGTGGCTACCTCCAAAACACTCCATGCCAGCACCCCCAGAAGGAACACCCCCAGAGCTCAGAACCCCTCGAGCACCGGGACCACCCCCAGGCCCGCCGGGACAAGCCACGACAGAAGTCCCAGGACTAGTACCCACCCCAAATCTAGCACCCCCATAGGCAACGAACTGCTGCGACGACGGCTGTGGCGGCGGCGGCTGCAACGACGGCTGCGGCGGCGGTGACGACGGCTGCGACAGCAGTGGCGACGGCGACTGCGGAGGCGGTGGAGGAGGAGACATCTGAGAAGGGGCAAGCGGCGAGCACTGCCCCGTAGGACCACCAGAGTCAGCAGACTCCTCAACCGGGACAACCGACGTAAGTGGGGTGACGTGGGACACACCAGAGGGGGCAGGACGGGGAGGGGGAGGAGGAGGGGCGGCGACGACCGGGGAAGGGGTGACCAGGAAAAGGGGGGGGGGGTAACCGGGGGACCTCGGTGGGGGAAGTGGTGGAAGAAGGAGACGGACTCATCAAAGGTGACATCACGAGAGTGAAAGAACCGGTGAGACGGCGGGTGGTAGACGTGCCAGTCAGACGAGTCAACGGGGAAGCCGAGGAAGACACAGGGAAGGGTGCGGGCAGTGAGCTTGTCCGTGCCAGAGGCACGAACGTGAGCAAGGCAGCCCCAGACGTGGAATGCAGACGCGTCACCAGGTGACCCAGACCAGAGGAGGGTCGGCAAAACTTGAGGCTGCTGGGGGTGCGGCCACAGGTTAAGCTGGTGAGCGGTGTAGCGAATGGCGAACGGCCACAGAAAATGGGGTGCCCCGGCATGGATCATGGAGGTGCGAGCCACCTCCATGACCAAACCGATGCGTCGCTCAGCGACCCCATTCTGCTGCGGGGAGTCCGGCAAGGTGAACGTCTGGGTGATGCCCTCCGCACGACAGAAACGACCAAGGACACCAGAGGCAAACTCGCCACCACGGTCGGAGTGGGGACGCAAGACAGGGAGACCGCGGTGGACACGCGCAGAGACAAGCCACGGGATAAGAACGGCAGGCACGTCGGCCTTCCGCTCCAGGGGGAACACAGTGGTGTAGAGCGTGTAGTCGTCGACAAGCACTAGGAAGTAGCGCTCTCGATGCGGCCCATGGACGCGGGCAGGGCCCCAAACGTCCATGTGCAGAGTCTGTAGCGGTGCTGCAGTAGGGGGAAACGAGGAGGAGTGAGGGTCACGGCGGAGCCAGCCCTCGACACAAGGCGTGCAAGGTGGGGCTGGGGAGGAGGGAAACTCGAGGAACGACCCGGGGAGGCCTAGAACGAGACCGTGCTGTGACATGTGACGCGGACGCGGGAGCGCAGGGTGACCTAGGCGGTGGTGCCAGAGAAGAGTCGGGTGAGTGAGAGACTGACAGGAGCACGCAGCAGCAACCGGGGGAGACGCAGTCACCTGAGGGGGGGTCCCAGCCGGGGGGGTCACCGTGTCCAGTGTGAAAAGACCGGACACCGGGTCCCGTGGGAACATGGACAGGGGGGCACCAGTGGCGGCCTCGGTACAGACAGCATACCGCTCGTTTCCAGGGAACGTAGTGGTGACGCCAAGTTCCTGGAGAACGAGGGGATGTGCAGTCGTGTGAGCGAGCTTGAAGGAACCGCCGGGCTGGGGAGGGTGGTGGAACTGCGGGCGACTACTGGGCCGGAGAAGGGGTCAGCAAGAGAGACTGCGGCAGGGACAGGAAGCGGTGTCAACGTGGTATAGTCGCGGAAGAAGCACCGGGAAGCGCCAGAGTCAAGGGTGAAGGAGAGCGCGGCAGTGGCGGCCGGAGGCGAAGCAGCGAAGGAAGCACCAAGGCTCAACAAAGCAGGGGATCCTACGCCTGACGCAGCAGGGGAGTCTAAGCAAGGCACACCTACACTAGGCAACAAGGGGTAATAAGACGGAAGCACACTAGAGTCATCAGGATACATCACATGCAGAGCAGTAACAATCTCATCCATATCCATATCAAAAATCTGAACCCTACGACGAAGCAAACTGTGCCAGTCTGGGAGCTCGGGCGACGGGCCGAAACGCTGACGAAACAGGTTGTCTAGGCGATGGAAATAGCGGACGGAGGTGTGACCGATCTTACCGCAAACGAAGCCACGACAAGGACCGGACTGGAGCAGTTACTGACAGCGCGCGTCACCCAAAACACCACCCGGCAGCCCACAACGCGCACCACCACCAAGTCCAGCGCTACCACCAGCGCCAGGCCACCCAGGGGGGAGACCACTCGCCGGTCTCTGCTGCGGCTGCTGCGACTGCTGCGGCTGATGCGAGTCCGGCTGCAACGCCGGCGGCTGCTGAGACGGCTGCTCGGCTGCACCTGGCAAGGTCCCCTCGTCCGCACCACCACCAGGAGACCCAGCTCCAGCACCACCTACACCTGCACCCCCACCCCCGCCGCCACGCCCAGCCTTGGGGCGGCGACCCTTCCCCGGACGGACCTGTGCTGCAGCGGCAGTCTCAGCCACAGCAACAGAACTGTCAGAGAAGGTGCACTGAGCGGGGGCGCAACCTTGAAAGATAGTGACCGGCACAGTACAGCTGGTCTGAGCGATAGAGCGGTGGCGGGCCTCTATAGCGGACAGGGTGTCAACAAAGTCAGTGAGGGTGAGGTCTGCGGGGTGGACGCTAAGGAAGTGGTCACGGGCAGTGGCAAGACGGTCACGGAGGCGGGTGGCTAGCAGGTAGAGAGTAGAGGTGAGGGGCGGCTGGTGGACTAGAAGCTATGTGGGAGTGCTGGCAGCACGTCAGGTCTCGTCTATAGTGCGCAAGTGAGCGGCCAGGTCGGCGACAGTGGGGAACGACGCAAGGTCAGGGAAGAGCATGGGGAGGAACAGACGACCGACCGAGGCAATAGGCGGGGTGGAATAGCGTTGGACAACAGCATCTAGGAAAGCCTGGGCAGTGGTGATAGACCTCAAGCGAGGTCGCTCGGACAAGGGGAGGGCATTGCTAATGGCAAGCTGTGCGACAGCGTCATGGGACATCCAGAGAGAGCGAGCAAGGGCAGCGGCCGCAGCGGACTCACGCTCAGCGGACGAGGGATCAGTAGACAGTGCAGCGGGGGGGTCAGGGCAGGGGAGAGTACCGTCAAGATGGACAGACAGAGAGTGGCCATCCTGCCGCTGACCAGTAAGGTGGCGACGGAGGTCAGCAAGCCACGCATCAAACTCAATCGGCTGGCCGTCAGCGTCAAAGCAAAGCACCTCCGCCATCAGTGACAATAGAGGGCAGTGGAGAGCAGTACAGTGCGGTGCAGTGAGGCGCAGTGCGGTACATTGCGGTGCAGTGCGGTGCAAGGCGGTCTAGTACGGTACCGGGGGGGTTCGCAGGGCAGTGCTGATCGGGAGGCACGGGCTGAACCCGAGGCGGCGGCGGGCTGGCGACGACGCGAATGCAGGAGCCGGCCGGCGGACGGCAGACGCGAGGGGCCAGCAAACGGCGGCAACGAGGGCCGGCGAGGAGCTGGCGCGACGGCGAGTAGGGCCAGCCACGACGGCGAGGAGACACGGCCGCGACGGCGGCCAGGGACAGCCGCGACGGCGGCTAGGGGCTGCTGCGACGGCAGGAGTGACCGTGAGGCGGCTGGAGACGGCAGCGACAGCAGCTAGGGGCGGCCGCGACGGCGAGGGGGCGGCCGTGAGACGGCTAGGGGCGGCCGTGGGACGGCAGGAAACGGGCGCGACGGCCAGGGGGAGGGGGGGGGGGGGCGGCTAGGGACGAACGCGACGGCCAGGGGGCCGGCTAGGGACGGGCGCGACGGCCAAGGGGCCGGCTAGGGGCGGACGCGACGGCCAGGGGGCCAGCTAGGGACGGGCGCGACGGCCAGGGTGCCGGCTAGGGGCAGACGCGACGGCCAGGGGGCCGGCTAGGGGCAGACGCGACGGCCAGGGGGCCGGCTAGGGACGAGCGCGACGGCCAGGAGGGCCGGCTAGGAGCGGGGCACGACAGTGGCTAGGGCCTAGGGGGCGGAAGCGTGGGCGGGCTAGGGGGGAACCTAACCTATGATACCATATCAGAAGAATAATTGAACTAGAATGTGTGAGTACAAGGGTATATAGACTAGGGTGTTGTACCCTCTAAGGCACAATCCAGTATAGTCTACAGTAACGACCGAAGTTACATTTGACACCTGTAACCTGTTCTTCTAACTACGGTAGTTAGGCCCGTTTTCTCAGATTCCAATGCTGATTTTTCAGGGTCGGTACAGCAAAACACCCTGAAAATCAGCAAAATCAGGAAAAAACAAATCCTGAAACAGAGGGCCTGCCCAATCATCACACCCATTGGGTCACACAATTCATGGTCTTATATCGGGGGAATTACGATATACATAGTTAGCAGTGGGCAGCGACAAGCTGCCCTAGCGGGGAAGTATTCTTCCTCTATCAAGCCTAATACCCAAGCACGTCCCTTGGCAGGTCCATTAACGGACGCAGCGACAAACCTATGAACTTGCGGGCAAATAGCCAGCAGATCGTGTTCTCCCCGCTCACTGTGCACGTCCGGTTGGACATCACAAACTCCTGCGACTCCTTGGGCAGCAGAAACATGGGCTGCGAGTACGGGCGCTTCTGATTCTCATGCCACTCCTCCTTTATCCCCCTTATAGACTCAGGGGTGATGTCCCTCGGGAGGTACGTGTGCGGGTGGCCGGTTTTGCGCTGCCAGTCGACGCTCACGATGCTGCGATTGGCCACTTGGTGCGGGTGCTTAGAGGTGATGATGTTGTGCACCAGGTTCTCGTCCACGCAGCACGTGGGCCGCTGCATCTGCAGGCAGTACTCCCGGCCCTTCTCGTGCCACTCCCAGTCCTTCACAACCTCCACAGCATGCCTGCAACGGTGAATAAAGAGGGGTAAGGTAGTGCTTGGAGGTGATTATGTTGTGCACTAGGCTCTCGCCCACACAGCAGGTGGGTCGCTGCATCGCCGGCCGTTCTCGTGCCACTCCCAGTCCCTCATCACCTCTGCAGCATGCCTGGAATGGTGAATGGATGGGTTGGACGAGGGGAGAAGAGTGGGAGGAGGTGAAATAAGCCAGCAAACAGGGGGATATGGTAATTGATACTCATGCATGCTGTGCCGCAGAGTCCTTGAGTGTTGTGCCACAGAAATGGGACTGAGGGCGCATGACACTCCCCAACCATCCACCCCACCCACCAGCACGAGCGCCCTTGGGAACACCCTCTTCACAGCACGGTATCTGCCAGACTCAAGCAGGCACACAGGCAAGCAAATAACACATCCGCATCCCAGCAAGCGATACTCACGGGCGGGCCATCTCCACCCAGCACTCGCCGTGCATCCACCCCTGCAGCAGCAGCTCCTTGGGGAACATCTTGATGGCCGCCCTGTTGTCGCGGAAGAACTTGCGGTACCCGCCCACGAAGCTCTGGTTCGACGACAGCAGGTAGCGGTACACCGTGGGGAAGGCGTGCAGAGGCACGTCCCTCTCACTCAGCACCACAAACCGCACGTTCAGGGGGTCCAGGAGGGCTTGGGCCAGCAGTCTCTGCAGGAGGGGATGGGGGAGAAGGAGGTGGATTAGCTAGGTGACAGCAGGTAGCGGTAGACGGTGGGGAAGGCGTGCAGAGGCACGTCCCTCTCACTCAGCACCACAAAGCGCACGTTCAGGGGGTCCAGGAGCGCTGTGGCTAGGAGTCTCTGCAAAGGGAAGGGGACGGGAAGAAAAGACAGAGCATAGACAGTGAGGGGGTGGAAGGGAAGTTGGTACGGAGTGGTACGGAGTGGTACAGGCAAGGGACGTGCCTCTCAATCAGCACCGCAATGCACGTTGAGGGGTCCCAGGAGGGCAGTGGCAAGCAATCCTTGCAGATTGGAGGGGCGGAGAGGGAGGAAACCACGATTCCAGCACGGAGAGCAGAAGGAGATGGGGGAGGAGTGCAGAGGGAGGGGTATTTCTATTGTGGATATGAGCGGTCGAAAGGCAGGCACTGGTCCCATCTTATGACCCTCAGTACACATTACGCCCACAGACCCAGACTCATTATTCAACCCACACTGCGCACCCCTTGACGGTTGTCAGTGCTGACTGCCCCCCATTGTAGGCTTGAACAAACGAGTCAAGTCAAACTTGCCTCGTCTGCTCGGCTCGAGAAGTACGAGTAGCGAGGCAGGCTCCGCGCAGGAAAGTAGGAAAGTAGGCCGAGCGGTTCAGGAAGAGCCGCCGCCACAAGGGGGCCAGGGTGAGGGGGGCCCTTGAGTGAGGAAGAGGAAGGCGATGCTGGGGATAGGGGGACTCCCACCCTTCAAGGCATCTCACCTTGATGGCCTCAACGATGCTAAGCGTGCCCCAGAACACCGGCTTGCTGGGCACGACTTGTAGGTTCAGGCCCCTGCGCACCCTCGGCTCCACGCGGTACCCGGGCTCGGCTGCGTGCATGTAGGCAGAGAAGTAGGCGGAGTGGTTCAGGAAGAAGCGCTTCCACAGCAGGGCTAAAGGGAGGGGGCCGCGTGTGAGGAAGAGAAAGGCGATCTTGGGGATGGGGGGAGCGGAGGAGGGGACGGGGGAGGAGGGGGCAGGGGAGGGGGAGGAGGATGAGGGGGAGGAGGGGGAGTCGATGGGGGGTTCGGGCAAGGGGTCATTGCGGGTGATGGTGGTGAAGGTGGAGTTGAAGGGCGAGGGCGTGGTGAGGGCGTTGAAGAACAGCCGGCAGTCCGCCAGGTCCACAGTGCTGCCCCGGAACACGTACTGCCCACGCACGTTCCTGGGGGGAGATGAGGGGCAGGGAGGAGGGGCAGGGAGGAGGGGCAAGGAGGAGGGGCAGGGAGGAGGGGCAGGGAGTAGGGGCAGGGAGGAGGGGCAGGGAGGAGGGGCAGGGAGGAGGGGCAGGGAGGCGGGGCAGGGAGAGCAAGGAGAAACAAACAAGCAGGGGCAAGGAAGCAGTGAGGGCGGTGAAGAAGAATCGGCAGCGGTGCAGCAAGAAAAGGGTGAGAGTCGCATTGACACCAGTCGTTCAAGGTGCTTTCCCCGATACCGTACTGCCCACGCACGTTCCTGCGGAGTGGGGTGGGTGGGTGAGTGGGTGGGTGGGTGGGTGGGTGGGTGGGTGGGTGGGTGGGTGGGTGGGTGGGTGGGTGGGTGGGTGGGTGGGTGGGTGGGTGGGTGGGTGGGTGGGTGGGTGGGTGGGTGGGTGGGTGGGTGGGTGGGTGGGGATGGGGGGTTACGCCAAAGACGGGTGAAGGGTGCCTGAAAGAAGACGTGCAGGTCAACGGTGCTGGTGCTGTCAGGGTGCACTTACCGCCCTCACACGTTCCTTGGGGGGAAAGATGGCTGGGCGGAACCCGTGGCACCCTTTCAGATCCACATACAAACACCCCTTCGCCCACTCTCTCATCCCCCCCTTCACACAATCTCCGCTCCATATCACTCATTCCTTTCTCGCCGTCCCGTCCCCCACCCCCCTTCTCACCGCCCCCCATTGTGCACCCCATATCCCGCTCCACCTACTCTGTCGGTCGCGTGTATCCCTCCACGTCAGCAGCGCGTGTCGCGCACAGCCACGGGTCGCGCGGAACCGGCAGCCCCGCATCCGCCACTCTCCGCAGCAGCTTCACCGTCGCGTGCGGAAGCGCCGCGTCAAACCCACTCCGCTCCCGCCGCGGCTTTCCCATCCGCCGTCCCGCGCCATCCCCGCCTTCGTGTTGAGTTAGTTCCTCCCCCTCCGCTGCTTCCGCGGTTGGCGCGTCTGCGCGGACAGAGCCCCGCAGGGCGTCCGCCGTTGTTGCGCCAGGTTCGTTCCCGCGGTTTTCCGCCTCCCCCACTCCCGCGCGCAACCCGTCTTCGCCTTCCGCTCCCCCCGTGTGACGGTCACCGCCATCTTCGGTAACCGCACTGCCTTGCGCGTCGACACTGCCGACGTCCCCAGTATAAGACGATTCGTTAGTAGACAAGTCCTTGTCGTACGACGCAGCTCCCTGCGTTCCCTCAATGTCGCCCTCGCCGTCAGCTGGAAGGCTGACGTCACCTTGCGCGAGAAACTCGTCATCAGGAGAAGGCATGACGTCAGCTGCGCCGGCGAAGAACAACCGTTCCGATGCGGCCATCTCCATCGCATCCCACGGCTCTCCTCTGCCCGCCACCTCTCCGCCAAGTGCGGCGGCGCGCCCGGCGGGATTGGCAGCGGAAAATATGAGCGCGCTCCAGGCGTTGTTGTTGGTTGGCGCGGTTGACAAGCGCATGACGCCTGGGGGGACGGGGGGGGATGGGGATGGGGGGAATGGGTGAGTGGGGGAGGGTGGGGAATGGGGAGTTGGGGAGGGTGGGGAAGGGAAGGGGTTGACGAGCGACGAAGAAAGACGCACAATTATTCAGGGAGGTGAGAGGAAAGGGGGAAGGCTAGAGGAACGGGGGGAGGCGACTGGAGTGGTTGAGGCTGAAGCAGCAGCGGGGACGCAACAGGTCCTGAAGAAAACGAGGAGGCTCCAAGGCTCGAGTAGGCTGGAATCAATGTCTCGACGAAAAAAAAAGACTAATAAATTGTCAAGAAACGCTCTCGACGAGGAGAGCATGTGAAGGAGAGCTCTACCTTGCCACTGCGAGGGGTCGAAGGCGACGTCGTGGCTGGGCTGCCATAGCTGGTACGCCAGGGGAGCGGCGAGCGCCAGCACCACCAGGAGCCCCGCGCCCACGCGGTACCGCCACCGGCTCCCGCCCATCTTGAAGCTCCCGTTCAATCCGCCGCTCAATCCGCCGATAAGCCCGCCGTTCGCTCCGGCGCTCGCTCCGTCGTCCGCTAGCAGTGGGAGCTTGCCGGAGTCAGCCATCTCCTAGAGGCAAGGGCGAAGCGGCGATAGCGGCTACTGCGCTGGCGACGAGGGCCACGTGATGTGGCCACGTGTTGTGCTGTGGGCCACGGGACCCAGGTGACTCGCGGGACCCGGGTGACTCGCGGGACCTGGGCTTTAAACTCCCGCTGGAGTTTGAAGCACGGGCGATACCGGCTGGACGAATGCGACTGCGAGGAAGGGGTTCTGACGGCGGGGATGCTGTGAAAGCCGGCGTGAGAAGGGGATGCAGATGTCTGAGCTTCGAATCCCTCTGTTGCACTTTAGTGCGTCGCGTGGAGCGTCGAGAGTTGCGGTCAATCTGCTAGAGGGAAAGCGGCGAGCGACATAGTTAGCTAGTCAGCAGACGGGCGGGGACGGCAAGACTTTCTCAGTTTGCAGCCACGGCTAATGCCCGCTGGATCTCGAATCACAATTCCAGAAGGACGGCAAAACCACTTCCAAGTTCCTTAGGCTGTTGCCTGGACTAGGCTAGGGGGGTGTGGTGTGGGTGGCGGGAGGGAAAGGGATGACAGGTGGAATATGTACGCAAGGGGAGTTTTGTCGTGGCTTGGTTGGGACTTGGGAGAGGACGGAACGGAAGGGGTGGGTGGATGGGAGGGATTGGAGGTTCAACTGGGTTGGGTGAGAGCAAGAGCAGCACCCCACACATCGCTCGGTTCGGGCTGGGTAGGGATCGGTTGGGTTTGGTTTAGCGGCAGTTGCCCTCGAATCTGACAGGGCGGCGGTACGGTAAAGAATTCCCCGTGCGGACGGGGCTTGCTGGCGCCCTTTGCCCCACAAGAAACTTCTACGGAGCGCAAGGCTGAACCGAGGCGCCGCCGCCGAACAAATCGCCAAACCGAGAGCCATGGCCAGTGAACCAATCGCGTCGCAGGCTGCAGCGGACCGTTGGAAGCAGAGATTGTGCGGCCGCGAGCAGAATCTGGGGTTGGTTAATTTAGGTCCAAGCCAGCTAATTTACAGCGGGAACTGGTAATCAGAAAAGTGTAACAGTATGATGAAACTCCTTCAAGTATAAAAAAGGATGGAAATTATCACTTTCAAAACCTTGTGTTCAAATTAGTAGATGTAAGGAAAACACGTTTCCTTACTGAGCATCCTGCGCACTAGAGCATTCAGCCATTGCGATCGGCCCTACCTGGTTACCAATTGTTTGCCCATTGCATATTCCGTTGGCCGGGCCAACATCAGCACTACCGAGTTATTCGTCTAAAAGCCCATGCTCTTTAAAGCCCAGGTCCCAAGTTACAAGCCGCGAAAAGTGAACACGACTTGGGTTGGGAGACGAGAGCAGGGCCTCTGAAGTCAGGCTAAAAAGGCCTTAAAGCCTATATATCATGGTCTTTTCCAGGGGTCAATCTGATTTTTCAGGTTTTGATTGTCCAATGTAACTTAGGTCGTTACTGTAGACTATACCGGATTGTGCCTTAGAGGGTACAACACCCTAGTCTATATACCCTTGTACTCATACATTCTAGTTCAATTATTCATGGTATCATAGTAGGTTAGGTTCCCCCCTAGCCCGCCCACGCTTCCGCCACCTAGGCCCTAGCCACCGTCGTGCCCCGCTCTTAGCCGGCCCTCCTGGCCGTCGCGATCGTCCCTAGCCGGCCCCCTGGCCGTCGCGTCCACCCCTAGCCGGCCCCCTGGCCGTCGCGTCCGCCCCTAGCCGGCCCCCTGGCCGTCGCGTCCGCCCCTAGCCGGCCCCCTGGCCGTCGCGTCCGCCCCTAGCCGGCCCCCTGGCCGTCGCGTCCGCCCCTAGCCGGCCCCCTGGCCGTCGCGTCCGCCCCTAGCCGGCCCCCCTGGCCGTCGCGTCCGCCCCTAGCCGGCCCCCTGGCCGTCTCGTCCGTCCCTAGCCGGCCCCCTGGCCGTCGCGTTCGCCCCTAGCCGGCCCCCTGGCCATCGCGTCAGCCCCTAGCCGCCCCCATGGCCGTCGCGTCCGCCCCTAGCCGGCCCCCCTGGCCGTCGCGTCCGCCCCTAGCCGGCCCCCTGGCCGTCGCGCCCGCCCCTAGCCGGCCCCATGGCCGTCGCGTCTGCCCCTAGCCGGCCCCCTGGCGGTCGCGCCCGTCCCTAGCCGGCCCCCTGGCCGTCGCGTCCGCCCCTAGCCGGCCCCCTGACCGTCGCGCTCGTCCCTAGCCGGCCCCCTGGCCGTCGCGCTCGTCCCTAGCCCGCCCCCTGGCCGTCGCGCTCGTCCCTAGCCGGCCCCCTGGCCGTCGCGTCCGCCCCTAGCCGGCCCCCTGGCCATCGCGCCCGTCCCTAGCCGGCCCCCGTGGCCGTCGCGTCCGCCCCTAGCCGGCCCCTTGGCCGTCGCGCCCGTACCTAGCCGGCCCCCTGGCCGTCGCGCCCGTTTCCTGCCGTCCCACGGCCACCCCTAGCCGTCTCACGGCCGCCCCCTTGCCGTCGCGGCCGCCCCTAGCTGCTGTCGCTGCCGTCTCCAGCTGCCTCACGGTCACTCCTGCCGCCGCGGCCGCCCCTAGCCGCCGTCGCGGCCATGTCTCCTCGCCGTCGTGGCTGGCCCTACTCGCCGTCGCGCCAGCTCCTCGCCGGCCCCCGTTGCCGCCGTTTGCTGGCCCCTCGCGTCTGCCGTCCGCCGGCCGGCTCCTGTATTCGCGTCGTCGCCAGCCCGCCGCCGCCTCTGGTTCGGCCCATTCCTCCCGATCAGCACTGCCCAGTATTGTCACTGATGGCGGAGGTTCTTCGCTTTGACGCTGAGGACCAGCCGATTGAGTTTGATGCGTGGCTTCCTGACCTCCGTTGCCACCTCACTGGTCAGCGGCAGGATGGCCACTCTCTGTCTGTCCATCTTGACGGTACTCTCCCCTGCCGTGACCCCCCCGCTGCACTGTCTACTGATCCCTCGTCTGCTGAGCGTGAGTCCGCTGCGGCCGCTGCCCTTGCTCGCTCTGTCTGGCTGTCCCGTGATGCTGTCGCACAACTTGTCATTAGCAATGCCCTCCCCCTATCCGAGCGACCTCGCTTCAGGTCTATCACCACTGCCCAGGCTTTCCTAGATGCTGTTGTCCAGCGCTATTCCATCCCGCTTGCTGCCTCGGTCGGTCGTCTGATCCTCCCCATGCACTTCCCTGACCTTGCGTCGTTCCCCACTGTCGCCGACCTGGCCGCTCACCTGCGCACTATAGACGAGACCTGGCGTGCTGCCTGCACTGAGACACAGCTTCTAGCCCACCAGCCGCCCCTCACCTCTACTCTCTACCTGCTAGCCACCCGCCTCCGTGACCGTCTTGCCACTGCCCGTGACCACTTCCTTAGCGTCCACCCCGCAGACCTCACCCTCACTGACTTTGTTGACACCCTGTCCGCTATAGAGGCCCGCCACCGCTCTATCGCTCAGACCAGCGGTACTGTGCCGGTCCCTATCTTTCAGGGTTGCGCCCCCACTCAGTGCACCTTCTCTGACGGTTTTGCTGATGTGGCTGAGACTGCCGCTGCAGCACAGGTCGGTACGGGGAAGGGTCGCCGCCACAAGGCTGGGCGTGGCGGCGGGGGTGGGGGTGCAGATGTAGGTGGTGCTGGAGCTGGGTCCCCTGGTGGTGGTGTGGACGAGGGGACCCTGACAGGTGCAGCCGAGCAGCCGTCTCAGCAGCCGCCGGTGTTGCCGCCGGACCCGCGTCAGCCGCAGCAGTCGCAGCAGCAGCAGCAGTCGCAGCAGCAGCCGAGACGGGCGAGTGGTCTCCCGCCCGGGTGGCCTGGCGCTGGTGGTAGCGCTGGACGTGGTGGTGGTGCACGTGGTGGGCTGCCGGGTGGTGGTTCGGGTGACGCGCGCTGTCAGTACCTGCTCCAGACCGGTCCTCGCCGTGGCTTCGTTTGCGGTAAGATCGGCCACACCTCTGACCGCTTTCTCCGTCGCCTGGACGACCTGTTTCGTCAGCGCTTCGGCCAGTCGCCCGAGCTCCCAGACTGGCACAGCTTGCATGTGATGTATGCTGATGACTGTAGTGTGCTTCCGTCTTATTACCCCTTGTTGCCTAGTATAGGTGTGCCTTGCTTAGACTCCCCTGCTGCGTCAGGCGTAGGATCCCCTGCTTTGTTTAGCCTTGGTGCTTCCGTCGCTGCTTCGCCTCCGGCTGCCACTGCCGCGCTCTCCTTCACCCTCGACTCTGGCGCTTCCCGGTGCTTCTTCCACGACTCTACCACGTTGACACCGCTCCCTGTCCCTACCGCAGTCTCTCTTGGTGACCCCTCCTCCGGCCCTGTAGTCGCCCGCAGTTCCACCACCCTCCCCTGCCCGGCGGTTCCTTCGGGCTCGCTCACAGGACTGCACATCCCCTCATTCTCCAGGAACCTAGTTGGTGTCGGCTGCCTTCAGGACTTTGGCGTCACCACTACGTTCCCGAGACACGAGCGGTACGCTGTCTGTACCGAGGCCGCCACTGGTGCCCCCCTTGTCCACGTTCCCATGGGACCCAGTGTCTGGTCTTTTCACACTGGACACAGTGAACCCCCCGGCAGGGACCCCCCCTCAGGTGGCTGCGTCTCCTCAGGTTGCTGCTGCCTACTCTTGTCGATCTCTCACCCACCCGACCCTTCTCTGGCACCACCGCCTAGGTCACCCTGTGCTCCAGCGTCTACGTCACATGTCACAGCACGGTCTCGTCCTAGGCCACCCCGGGTCGTTCCCCGAGTTTCCCTCCTCCCCAGCCCCACCTTGCACGCCCTGCGTCGAGGGCCGGCTTTGCCATGCCCCTCACTCCTCCTCGTTTCCCCCTACGGCAGCACCACTACAGACTCTGCACATGGACGTCTGGGGCCCCGCCCCCGTCCATGGGCCGCGTCGAGAGCGCTACTTCCTAGTGCTTGTCGAAGACTACACGCGCAACACCACTGTGTTCCCCCTGGAGCGGAAGGCCGACGTGCCTGCCGTTCTTATCCTGTGGCTTGTCGCTGCGCGTGTCCACCGTGGTCTCCTGGCTTGCGCCTCCACTCTGACTGTGGTGGCGAGTTTGCCTCTGGTGTCCTTGGTCGTTTCTGTCGTGCGGAGGGCATCACCCAGATGTTCACCTTACCAGACTCCCCACTGCAGAATGGAGTCGCTGAGCGACGCATCGGTTTGGTCATGGAGGTGGCTCGCACCTCCATAATCCATGCCGGTGCACCCCATTTTCTGTAGCCGTTCGCCGTTCGCTAAAGCCTGTGGTCTAGAGGCAGAGGAGTGGGCTGTGCGGAGGAGAACTGAAGGCCGAACCTCTGAAGGACCTGGCGCACCAAGTGTGACTGAGTCAAAGTGATGGTGCGCGCTGCTCTGTCCCTGGAGATCTGCAAGCCAAGGTAGTGGCGCAGTTCTCCAAGGTCAGTGCAAGTGTGTCTCTTCAGCAGCTCTGCCTTCACGGAGGCCAGTGCGTCCCTGTCTGCCGTGGCAAAGACCAGGTAATCTACGTAAACAAGGATGTAGAATGGGGTCTGGCCAGCACGAACGAAGAGCGAGGGGTTTGCAGAGGACGGAAAGAACTGCAGGTCAGCAAGCGTA